TCTGCTGTTGGTTCCTCTGCCAGCCACCCGTGCTGGGCTGCAGGAGGAGCGCGGGTTTTGGTGAGCCGTGGGGACGGTTTGCCTCTCAGGGCTTCCTGTGGGTTTTGGCTGGCTTTGGTGTGTGCTGCTGTGGGCTGGGTGCCAGGTTGGCAGCGGTGGTTCTGGTAGGCAGTGGTGGTGGGAAAGCATCCCAGTTCTGGTTGGAGTGCCGGGGCTGCGGTGAGGAAAGCGCCTGGCCAGCCCTGGTGCGATCCTTCATCTTGCTGTGTTGATGGGGGTGTGTTTTGGCCTCTAAAATCCCTGTATCTAGTGCCGCCTGGGTTTGCAAATGAGATGTGCCAAACTTCTCCCCGTTGCCTGTATGCCAGCTCCGCCGCTCCTCTCTTCCCGGGGTTGGCAGCATCCTGTCTGAAGCAGCTGTTTCAAGTCCTAGTCCCAGCAGCATTTCCTGCTTCACCCCATGTGCCTGCTACAAGCAGCACAGAGCCAGTACTGGGAGAGCAGCAAGGACTGTCCGCAGCTCAGATGGGCAGTTTTTGGTAAAACAGGGATGCTCATCTTCGTCTGCTGTCTCATTTGGGCACAGGTGCTGCTGGAACCTGAACTCTGCGTGTGTGGGAGTGCTTCACCTCTGCGTAAATACCCTACAAAAGCTGTACCCGGAGGCGTGTAGAGCATCCAGCTCTTACCTCTCCAGTTTCTGGATCTGTTTGGTCACACCACAGACATAGCTGTGCCTTCCTGCGGAAGCTGCTGGACCTCCCGTTTGCAGGGAGGGATTGGAAACTGTGGTGCGAATGTCCTTTAATGGCTCAGAGTCTGCAAGGCAAGCAACAGCCTCTGCTGCTTCCCCCGTTTGTTTTTCAAATCCCTTTAAGACCAGTGTGGTAATTTTGGAGGCCTGTTACGTGCTTTGGGGGTGATGCTCCTGTGTGTTTATTCCTCAGCTCACATCTGCTTGGAACTCTTCAGGGACTCGGTAAGCTTCGTTCCCCCTTTGCCTCTCACTTCATCTGCTGGAGCTGAGGGCGCTTTTCAGTCTAATTCCGTGGGCGCAGGAGCGTCGGGCTGAGCCAGCTAGCTCGGGAAGCTGGCCCTGCTGTGTTCGTGTCCTTTTTCTGAGTCATTTCTTTCATTCACTTACGCAAAGGACGTTGCTGTTTGTGACCTCCCGGTTGGCAGACCCTTGTGCCTGTGCACACCGGAGCCACCCACGAACGGGCTGCAGGGAAGGAGGCGGTGGGGCTGAATACTACTGCTTTTTGATGGACAGTTTCAAATTGCTCTATTCAGCCCATCATCCCCCAAGTAGCTGCTGTCATTTTCCTTCAAATAGCTACCTTCAGGCTACTGGGAGAGGTCGGGCTGCAGAAGGGGAATGCATCAGGGAGGTGGGAAGAGATTTTACCTGTATCTGGCGTGGAGGACAAGGGCACTGGAGAGAAATGTGCATGAGTTCAGTGCCTTTAGAAACTGCCTGTGATGTTAAATTTGTGAAGAGACAGATGAAGGAGCTGAAATCAGGGCAGAACCATCTCAAAATTGTTTGGAAGCAATGAGCAGGGTGTTAGGAGTTCAGGCCTAACGCCACATCTGACTGGGTACGCTGGTGGTGTGGCTCAGCCTGGGTCTCCCTGCTGCCCATGTGATTTGTGTTTGAGCAAGGATCAGTTTTTACTGGAGTCCCATCCCTGAGCCCACCCTGTAGTGAAAAAGGCGTAGAAACATGAGTTCCCAAAAATTACTGCACCAGGACACTTCTCACTACTGCATCGCTGGAGGTGATGTTTGCCCTGGGTGCCTCTCCCCGCTGCCTCCGTCCGTGCAGGTTTGTTCTCCGAGCAGCCCCGTGAGCCAAGCGGGACCTCCAGCCTTTTGCTTCCAGCGCGGCCGAGGTGCCGGAGCCGTGTCTCCCACCATGAGAGAGTGCCAGGCCAGCACAGCGAGCTGGCAGCCGCACTGGCTGATGGTGTGTAGGGTGGCTTAACGGCATTAATGAGTGCTGTGCTGGGGCCGTGCCGACACGGGCGGCTGCTGGGGAGGGCAGGACTGTGCCCGGCCTTTGCAAAGCTCACACTGGGATGATTTTTCCCAGTGTCTGAGTGCCGTGGAGTGGTTATGTATCTTTATTGCTCATGAGCAGCTGTCTCAGTCACTGCTAATGGACTGTAATACACACAGAGCTGAGCCCAAAATGATGTCTTCACAGAAATTGCCTGTCTGTGGAGCTTCTGCCCTAAAAGCCCAGAAGCAGCAGGCTGGGTGAGTTACTGTCATCTGCAAAGTGTGTGCGTGAGGGGTCTCTGGGTGCTTCCCCTTCTCTGAGCCTTTGCTCTCACCTCCTCTTCCCAAACCAGATATCCCACAGGACAGAGGAACCGAGGGAAATAACAAAGGGATCACTTCCCTTCTGTCTGCTTGCGCAGGACCCTCTCCCCTCCGCCGGTGTTCCCGCAGTACTGATAGGCACTGCTCTGAGCTGAGGGCATGACTCGGTGGAGGGGGGTATGGGGGTCCCTCCTTGGGCCCTGGCAGGCAGCGAGTGCAGGCGATCTGCTCTCCACCACCCCCGCTTCGCACCAATCATAGAATCACGGAATGGTTTGGGTTGGAAGGGGCCTTAAAGATCACCTAGTTCCAAGCCCCCTGCCATGGGCAGGGACACCTTGCACTAGACCAGGTTGCTCAAAGCCACCAACACTGAACGGAGCCAGAACCCGCTGCCCTGATGCCTGGCTTGCCCGCAGCTATGGACGTAAAGGATGTCTGGGGGCTCACTGACGTCTTGTCACAGTGAGCAATTCCCCTACTGATTCTGCTCCCTCTGGATTTGCATGGTGAGCTTCCCCCTTCCTCGTTCCTCAGCTCATCAGCTATTCATTGATCTTAGCTGGGCTCCTCCAGCACTCATTCATCACTCTCACACCGCCATCCACTCTCCAAATGTTTCCTATTTTTCCGGTGATGTATTTCCCTGTTCAGACAAGCTAATCTTGCACCATCAATAACCGGGGTGCAGCTCTGCTCCCCACCTCTCTGCTGGCACGGGACAGGGCTCGGCCCTGCGTGGATGGGGCCGTAGGGTGAGCCGTGCGCAGCCGCAGGGGCTTCCCGGGAGCCGCTTCCCTGGATGCTGGGTTTCTGCTGCAGGAGCTTGTCCTTCCCCTTGGGGCCTTGGAAGCGTGTGGATGGAGGTGATCCCCCACGGCCAGGAAGGGCTGTTTTCCTGTAGCTGGGTGGGGGGCCGTGGTCTTGGAGAAGGTGAGACAAAGCCCGGAGGCAGAGCAGCCTTGCTT